AAAAGGGAAGAAGGAAGATGAAGACTCAGAGCTCTTCCTTGTCCTGTCTCAGAGCCTTGAATCCGGCAGAGACGAGACTGTCATCGCCTCCCCGATCAGAGACCCCGGTCCAGTAGAACAGGCCTCCGAGGCCGTTTGCGCGGACATAGCGAGCCTTTGCCTCGACCGTCTTCGGCACGTCAAACGACACGAAGCCCCTCTCGCACTCCGAGTCGACAAACGACGCCACGGCCGCCCGGCAGTCGACCGCCGCATTGGCCACCCACTCGTCGGCCATGTCCCTGTAGTCGACCTCGCCGGCCCTAGCGGAGAACGGCTGGCCCGGCCCGGTGGCCTCGGGGAAGAACCTCCCGTAGGCGGGGATGCCGACGACGATCTTGTGCGCGGGGAACCCCCTGGAGGTGATGTAGTCGACGCCGCCGGAGACGGACTTGCGCAGCGTGGGGTACACCTCGTCCGGGTTGTCGCTGGGCGGGAGGAGCTGCGCCTGGTGGCCGCTGACGTCGGTCCACGCGCCCATAAAGTCGTAGCCCATGAGGTTGAGGTGGTCGAGGACCCTGCCTGCGGCCCCGAGGTCGATGTGCTTCAGCGTGTACTGCCCCACGGGGAGAGCCGCCGACAGGATGTACCTGGTGTGCGGGAGCTCCTCCCTCGCCGCCTCGATGAGCCTGACAAAGTTCTCGCCCTCGCCGCTCGTGGACGGGTGCTCCCAGTCGACTGAGAGCGGTGCGGGGTCGGTTAGCTCGACCGTTCACATGCTGGGAGAGGCCGGCCATCCGTCTTACTGTCTATCCCGTCAAAGTCATAGAGGTCGCAGAACTTCCTGGCCTCCTTGGCAAACGTCGTCCTGGATTCCTCGCCGGCGGCCAGCTTGGGGAACTCTGCACTGCCAGAACCGCCGCCGAGGGAGACGACCGTCTTGAGGTGACGATGGTTCCTCTTCAGCTTAGCCAGAGCGCGGAGACAGCCCGCCTCACCGTCGACCTCCTTCTTGAGGTCGCCAAACTCGTCGAGCAGCTGTCCAAGTTAGATCTTGCGTACTCTTGTGTACTCCAACACAGCCATTCACACGAGAAGGAGAGAGCGAGAGCGAGAGAGAGAGAGAGACTGACTCTGAATGTGCCATCCTCATTCAACCTGGATTCACGTGTGTAAGTAGTCGTATTCCTACGTAAAGCCGATGGAGGGTGCATCTGATCTCTTTACCGAACAAAGGCATAGAAGATGTGCGTCACCGAGCGGACGTCGAGGCACGAAGGGGGGCAACCCTTGTAAACCTTCCACGACGGGTAGTAGACGGCATTCACGAGATCCGGTGACATGGTCTCGTACGCGGCAGATTCGTCTTTGCTGGAGAGGAAGAGGAAGAGAAGATGTAAGGGAAGAAGGATGATGACAGTCCAGGTAAGGAGGAAGATGATGACGAGCAACAGTGCCTAGGTGATGAACGGAACGGTCCAGGTGCGTGGAAAGCCAGACATGTGCCGTGAGTTGGAGAGAGAGGGTGGGAGACTTGGAGCATATATAAGCATGAGGCCCCTCCCCCAACGCCATCCAGGGCAACAGGTTCCCCGTTCCCGTGCGAAGGTAGCAGGTACATCCTACTCTTTCCCTACCTCTCCCACCCTCTAATGCTGGTACTGGTCAGCTACGGCAAGATCACTACCAAGTTAGTGATGCGCTGTACTCGTAATGGTCGTATGCAGGGCGCTTCTGGCTGCTTCCCACCAAGGGGAGGGAAAAGGCTTGGGTGACGTAGTGCCTCTTTACGAGCGGCACCTCACTGCCGAGGGCGATGTATATACATATATGTCCTATGTACGAGAGGAAAAGGACAGTTCAGCTATCTGGTCTATTTCACATGTCTTCTTTCTTTTTCTCTCATGCATGTGGTAACACGTTGTGTATGCTTGGTTTTTTTAGTGGTACCAAGATGGTATTCACCGTCCATCCCGCGAAACAATCAACCTGCACAGCCTGGACGCCCTCCATACTATGGCTGAGACTGGAGATGAGGAGTTGAGGGCTCTTTATAGCCCATTGCCAACCCCCTCTTCTTTCTTCTCCATTCTTCTTCCTCATTCATCTGCTGAAAAAAACATGAATAGACCAGATAGATATAGAGCATTCTTTCCTCCTTTCACCCCGTTCTCACCTTTTTTGTCTCGTTCTTTTTTTCCCCAATAGGAATGATCCTCTGTTTCTTTCTTTTTTTTTTTTTTTTTGTATTACCACCTCGTCAGCCACCACCCCCCTTCTCTTTATATTGCAGCTTGAATCTTTTTGCAGGCAAGGATTTGTCTTGCCTACTCTATAAAACGAAATATGAACTCCAGTGAAAGCCAACAGCTAATCTTGACACACACACACAGAATAAAAACATTTTCATCACATTCCCCCTTTTTTTTTATATATGTTCCCCACGTCTCTTTTTGTCTTCACCTTGGGGGTTTTTTTTTGAGTGTCATGATGGGGCGGGGTGACGTGGTGCACGTGACGGGATGCAGATAGGCACCGACGGGTAAGTTCAATGACGACGTCAGACACCCTCCTCTTCTCTCTTCTCCTCTCATCGGCACCACTTCTCGACGCGGACACCATCCAGCTGGTTGAGCAGGCCAAAGTCCATCTTGTGCTGCTGCAGGGCGACGATGACGAGGTCGAAGGTCTGGAGGACATCCCTGTTCCAGTCGGCGTCGGCGAGGCGCGGGATCTGCGGGATGGCCTCCTGGGGGACGAGGGCGTCGGCCCACTGAACGTCGACCTCGCCCGAGATGGCGAGGTGCTTCGCGACGCCGATACCGGGGGAGTTGCTCAGCGACTCCTGGCCGGCCTTGAAGGCCATGCCGACGACCAGGACGCGAGGCCTTCGGGCGGCGGGGGCGGCAGCCTCGCCGCCGTCCCTGAAGGACTCGAGGGCCCTCTCGGCAATCTTGGCCGGGCGGTCCCACATGGAGGCCGTGGCGGCCTCGAGGAGCGGGAAGCTGCTGTTGGACAGAAGGTAGAAGGGGTTGACGGGGATGCAGTGGCCGCCGACGCCGATGCCCGGGGTGTAGGGCATGTAGCCAAAGGGCTTGGTGGCGGCGGCGGCGCAGACCTCGTAGGGGTCGATGCCGTGGGGGGCGCAGGCGTCGGCCATCTCGTTGGCGTAGGCGATGCACACCATGCGCTGGCAGTTCTCGTACAGCTTCATCATCTCGGCCACCTCGGGCTTGGACACGGTCACGACGTTGTCGAAGATGCTGCTGTACACCCGGTGGATGGCGTCCAGGGACCCGGGGATCACGTCGTCCAGCCCGGAGATGATCTTGGGAATCTCGTGAACGGGAGGAAAGACACGACCTGGGTCGACCCTCTGCGGTTCGGGTTGTGTGTTTGTCAGCAACTCCTTGTCCTTCTTCCTGGTATAAATATATATATATATATGTATATATATGTATATGTATACACCTCCATATGCAGCTGAGCGCTCCTTATACAAGAAGAGGACAAGAAACAAAGAAGGGGGGGGGGACTAACCTCAGGAGACATTCCGGCAAAGAAGCCACCAGCCTTGGCTACGGGACCGAGAATCTGGCGAGTCATGCCGACGGCGACGGAGCTCTCGACGACAACGGTCGACCCGCGACGGGCCACCTGGGCGACGGTCATGACGGCCTCCCTCAGGTACGAGGAGTCGATGGTACGATCCGGACGGAGCAGGGTAGGCACGGAGATGAGGAAATGGGTGGCGGCCGAGAGCTTGACTGTCTCGTCGGTGAAGTCGAGGGCCTTGCCGGCGATGCCGACGCCCCCGTGCTCCTCCCGGAGCTGACGGACGCGTGCCCTGGAAACGTCGAAGCCGATGACGCCGTACCTCTTGGAGAAGGACTCGACGAGGTGGGTGCCGACGTAGCCCACGCCGAGGACGGCGATGACGGGCTCGTCCTCGGGCCTGACGGGTTCCAGGGAGAAGGACTCGGCCGACGACGACTCCTTGAGCCGGTGACGGTGGAGGTAGTCATCCTCCGTGATGGGCGGCGTGTCGGGGTAGAAGCCGGGGTCGGCCGCCGAGCTCCAGGGGAAGTCACCGCCGGCACCCGGGGCAGGGGCGATGATGGGACCGGGCTTCTGGCCCTTGGGACCGGGACGCTGCGCCGTCATGACCTGAGACATGGTGCTGATTGCTTGAAATGTGATGTGATGGAAGATTCAATCAGATGAAGGAGATTGAGAGAGAGAGAGAGAGAGGGAGAGAGAGAGAGAGGAGGGGGCGAGTGTGAGTGTAAACTTATCTCCCACTGGCAGGAAAGAAGAAAGAGTGAAGATGAGCGAGAGAATATTCCGAGACTGCTGTGGCTGTTGAGTTCTCCTTACAAGGTAAGTGAGCGAAGCTGATGCTGCATCTACCCGGGAATAGCGAGACTATATCCTAAGGCTTTCTCGAGAGAGAGATATAGAGAAGGAGGAAGAGAGAGAGGGGGAGGGAGAGAGAGAGAGAGAGAGACAGGGATATAGAGGGAAAAACAGACCAATGTATACCATTTCCCGAAATATGTCCTCTTAGGGAAGAACAGGGAATCACAATTCCCTTTGGCGTGGGGATGGGGAGGGGTGCGAGTGTGTGTGTGTGTGTGTATGTTTCTGTCACGGCGGAAAGGACTCTCTACCTAAAGAAGAGGAGGGGAGGGGAGAGGAGAGAGAGAGAGGGGGGGGGGGGGGGGGGGGGGGGGGGGGGGGTGTGGACGGTGTGAACGGTGCCTCTACAGACAAAACTACTCGATACGCACGCACGCAACCGAGAAAGATCTCCTTCCCATCCCGCTCTCCCCATTTACGTCGAGGTCCATGGGAAGTCTGGTGCCACGGAAAGGCGGGAAAGGTTGGCGGGCAGACTAGTAAAGCCACGGACATGATGTTGACGGACCAGTCAAAGGGGGAAAGTCCAGCAACGCACCTGATTTGCCCCCTCGGCAACTTGGCAAGGCTCTCATGTCGTCTTCTTCTCTCCCTGCCCCATTCATTACGCCACTTGAAAAAGAAGGAAGGAAGAAGAAGAGTGAAGAGAGAGAGAGAGAGTTGTGGTGATTCTGGTGCCAAGATGGGTAAAGGATCACCATCACCAGTCCTCCACACACACACACCCCCCCCCCCGGGGGGTGTCGGTACCCGCCCGCCCGCGCCGGTTAGGGGAGGGACAGCGCCAAAATGCGACACAATGCACGGGGAGACCTCAGCTACGGTTCTGGGTTTTTATATTTCTTTTTAAATTCTTTTTGTTTAATTTCAAACATTTCCTGTAGACGAGTTTTTTTTTCCGCCTTCCCTTCTCCCCTCAGCTTGTACGGAAGCGGGAAACAAGGATAGGATAACCGTAGACTAAAGGTCTGAGAGGATCATGATGGGGTGTTGCTGAGCTGGGACGTGACATTCATATCATTATCCCGGAAAGGATATGGAGAAGAAGAAGAAGGAGGAGGAGAGATAATGGGCGAACTAGTAAGATCTGTTCAAGTGAGAGAAAGGGCTCATGATGGCGTGAGAGGCGGCGGGAGGACAGGTTAGATGGTGGCCACACTTGAGGGGGAGGGGACTGACAAGGTGTACAGAAGAAGGTAGAATGGCAGACTTCGTATCTGGTCAGAAAAGAAAAAAAAAAATCTCTCTTCCTTTCCAGAAAAGAAAGATGGTAGACTAACTATTGATCTCTTTCTAAGGAAAAAAAAAAACAAGACAAAAAAACCCCCAAACCCAAAACACCAACGGAGAAACATGTTGCAATAAGCTGCTGATGAATCAACCTCACCACACACACGTATTATGCAAGCATGCAGCAAGAGAGAGACAAAGGCGACCAAGAAGAATCCTCAGACAGCCGACTCTATTGTTAACCTTTTTTTTTTCTTTCCCTCTCTTCTCTGATACCGTACCTCTCTCTCTCTCTCTCTCTCTCTCGGGCATGTCCGTCCTCGAGCTGAGACAAAACTCCGATGATGGGGTGGCGAGGTCAAAGCAGGGCTACGTGTGCATTTTTGACCCCAGCACAGCTGAGTTTCTTTTTTTCCCCTCCCTTTCTCATGTTGCTCTTCGATCCTAGCCTTTCTCCTTTTTTTTTTTTTTTTGAAATTTTTTTCACATAGTTCATCTGCTATGCGGATTACAACTGCCATATCCTCCGTGCACAGCATAGAGAGAAATACTCCCCTCCTAAACGGTCAGGGATGTCTTGTAAGGCTTAACCGAGACAGTTCTAGATTGAGACATGCGAGACGGGCAGGACAGAGCTGTAAGGAATATATATATGTGTGTGTGCGTGTATATATATATATATATATACATATATACATGCGTGTGTGCGTGACAGGACCTGTTACGCTATACGAGGTATGTCTGAGCTGTACTCGGATTCGTCCGACAACAACAACAGCAACAACAACCAGAGGAAGAAGAAGAGGAGGAGGAGGAGGAGGAGGAGGTCCATGTACGTCTTCCTTCTTCTCCTTCCTTCCCCTTTCAGTGTCGACGCTGCATCGGCCCACTTGCCAAGGAAAGAATGTCGAGGACAGACGTAAGGATGAGGCGGCCGGTGGGGAAGCACGCACACGTACCAGGTCGCGATGTATGATACTCTCGGTACGGGTATTACCGAAGGGACTAGCTTGTATGGCTCCGTACATGTACCGAAGACGGAGCAGCCAGAGTGAGGGTGAGAGGGATGCTTCCTTACCGGGATCGGCTCCATCCATATGCATACGTACACGGCCTGTCCCTGGACAGTTCCTGAGCAGGTAGAGTTTCCTTGGTTCAGCAGGGCAGTGATACGTTGCAAGGTAGGATATGAGTGAGGGCAGTCGAGCAGGAAGGATCTGTGTCCCATAATCTCGTATTCTTCCTTTTCTTTTCTCCCTTTTTTGTTCCCTTTTTTTTTTCTTTTTTCCTTTCTTCTTCTTCTTCTTCTTCTTTAGCTGGCTCTCTCCTCTCTCTCTCACTCTCACTCTCCCACTCTCTCACTCTCACACACTCTCTCACCCTCTCTCTCTCCAAGGAACCGACGAGATAGAGCACGTTGGGCAGCAACAACCTCTCCTCCTCCGCCTCCCCCCCCCCCCTCAGGGCGTCGCCGTTGACCGGATTGTTACGTGCGCGCACATGTGTGTGCTGCGTATTGTAATTATAGTCTTCTCGTATACGAGCGAAGCTCGGGTTCAATAATCATGTTCGGAAATGTTACAACGTGGCTTACCCGAGATGGAGTGAAGAGAATTTCATGCAAGAAATCGTTGCACATGGTAGGACGACATGGTCATATGTGTATGCGTGTGTATGTGCGTGTTCAACAATTGGGAATATGGCGAAATCATCGTCATCATCATCATCACTGTCAGGAAAGGAAAGAAGAGGGAAAGAAACCCCCCCCCCC